AACTCTCGAAGGGAGTATCCGATTCGGTCCAAACTTGGTACATAGTAATATTTTTGTCAAACTTAGATCGAGTTCGGAGATGGGCAATATCGGTCCACTCCTTCTGGTATCTCCCCCACAAAAGGTCGAAATTTTCAAAAAAAAATATTTTTTGCACAGAAAGAGAAACGGTAATCCGATTTTACTCCAACTTTGCAAATCTTAATATTTGCGTCAGTGCTAGGTCAAGTGTGAAAATAGAAACCACCGGCCCACTCCATCAAGTACCTTCCCCACAAATGGTCAAAATTTTGAATAATTACCGATTGTCTTCAAATTTCACACATCCCAATATTTTTATTAACCCAAGGTCTGGTATTAAGATGGAATATATCGGTCCACTCCTTCTGGTCCCTCCCACACAAATGATCGAGATTTTCAAAAAAAATGTATATTTTGTGCACAGAAAGAGAATCGATAATCCGATTTTGTTTTAACTTTGCAAATCCTGATATTTACGTCTGGTGCAAAAACGGATAATATCGGTCCACTCCATCAAGAACCTTCCCCACAAAAGGTCGAAATTTTGAATATCCATCAAGCTCTTAAAACACTAAATTAACATCCGAATCCATTCAGACTTAGCACGTCTCAAAATTTTTATAAACGCAAGATCTTTTATAAAGATGGTAGAGATCGGACCATTCGTTCTGGTACCTCCCACACAAAGGACCTAAGTTTTGAATAATCAAAATGAGCAAAGAATCCGAAATAAACATCCGGTTCTCTTCAAATTATACACGTCCCATTATTTCTACTAACTCATGATCTGGTGTGAAGATGGGATATAACGGTCCACTACCTCCCCCACAAAGGATCAAAATTTTGAGTATCCATGAAGCTCATAAAACGCAAAATTAACATCCGATTCTATTCAGACTTGGATGATGTAGAAGACCGATTGTCTTCAAATTTCACATATCCCAATAATTTTATTAACCCAAGGTCCGGTGCCAAGATGGAATACACCGGTCCACTCCTTCTGGTACCTCCCCCACAAAAGGCCAAAATTTTTAGTATCCATGAAGCTCGTAAAACGCAAATTTAACATTCGATTCTATTCAGACTTAGAGCTTCTCAATATTTTCATCAACACAAGATCTGCCAACTTATAGTTGTCATAACTTGCGAAACAAGTCGTGATTCTTAACAAGTTGCTATATCTAAATATTTCTCTTAACCAGTATTCTGATATGAATATGTAATTTGTCGGAATTTATGTTTTCGCATAAAATTGGATACGAATGTTCGATTTTCTTCAAATTTTGCATATACCCATATATTTGATCTGTATTAGATGAATTATGAAAATGGAATACTTCAGTCCGCTATATCTGTTACTTGACGCATATTTCCGAAAATGTGCACATATCTCATATAAAGTACAAGAAGTAGTCGATATAATCCAAATCTGTCTCGTTCATAACTTAAGGCTGGGGGTATAAATCTGTCGGCAAAACAGACTGATACTATTTTACTTGTTTTGTTTCCGATTAAAGAATTTTTCAATAAAGGAAATTCACATCACTTTTAATGGAAGAGGAAATTCTAGCATTTGAATTAGGAAGATCCTTCAATTGAAAGAAATCTCTTTTAATTATAAAAGGAGTCCCCTTTGTCATCATAAAGGGAAAATACTCCCATTCTTTTGAAACAACAAACCTAGGTAAAAGGTATATTATTTCATGGCATGCCTATGGAAGAATGTATTCTGGTCTCTTGGATTTGCTAATATTCTGGAATTCAATTCCAGTATTCTTGTATACACTTTAGATTCTATAGAAAGCAATCTTCCAGTAAAACTTATCCTGTGGTCTACATTTAAGTACTTTGTAAAAAATGCCTTCAACTATTCCACTTTTATGGAAGAAGGCGGTTAGGTTTTGTCTAGAACATGCATTTTCTATGTAAATTTCCGTAGATGAGGGTCTTTTGCTCTTCTTCAAGAAAAAGAAATGTCTTTGATGGAAATTCTTCTGAGATTGTATGAAATAAGACCACAAGATCTACAGGTCATCCATTGGATGTTCCATAGAAAATGGCATTTTAGTTTTCCGCGTAGATGGATGATTTTATTCCATCCCTTAAGGTCCTCTACCGATTTTTAGTCTTCGGCAGAAGGAAGACCTTTGCGTATTCTGTAAAAATCTCCTGTAAAAGAAAGACTTTTGTTATCTTATTGAGGAATACAACTTGTCCAAAGAGGAAGAAGCAAAGAGGACTTCCAGTTGTTCTCCTATAATAGAAAACTGTCTGGTCTTTTATGGGAGAAGATCTTATAGTTTTCTATGGAAGAAAGTCTTCTGGCCTTCTTCTTTGGAAAGAAGATTTCTCCTATGAAAGAAGGCCTACAGTTCTTCTATGGAAGAAGACTTACAGATAATTTTTCGAAGGAGAACTGCAACGACAAGATTTCTCCCCTTGGGCCTCTGGTCTTCTCTGGAAGGAGACAAATATAAATCTACGGCAGAAGACCTACAGATCTTCTGTGAAAGAAGATTGATTGGTCTTCCATGGAAGAAGAGCCTACAGTTCTTCTATGGAAGGAGACCAAATTTCTGGAAGGAGAACTGTAACGACAGGATTTCTCCCCTCGGGCTAGAATAGCAGGGGTTCGTACAGAAATTTTATTTGTTTGTATTTTATTGAGGAGTAAACTATTACGCTTATTAAATGGTAAATAAATAAAAACGGATCCTAATAGTCTTCGGTCCGGGATTGGAAGTGGGTCTTCAACTCGAGACTTGGATAAGTACTCGAGACACGAGACCGGTACACAGGATTTGGGTGCTCAGGATTCGGTGCGAGAGACCTGGATATCTACTCAAGCCAACTACAAAGATATTCAAAGATACATTTGTGAGAGACCTTAATAAATACTCAAGCAGACTACAAGGATATTTAAAGCTACTGTATCAAAAGACCATAATAAGTACTCAAACAGGCTATAGGATATTCAAAGATACTGTTGTAAGCACCTTAAAAAATACTCAAGCAGACACCGCTGCAAGAGACCTTAATAAGTACTCAAGCAGTCTACAAGGATCTAGGACACTAGGACTACAAAGATATTCAAGGTTACTACCGGGATTCAAGAATTAGAGACCTGGATAAGTTCTCAAAGAAAGGATGTCACTTACCAAAGTTAGTGTTATCACGTTCAAGGTGTGGCACTGACTGTCTCGATTCTGCCATAAACTGCCCTTTTATACACTGCTGCACCACGTGTTCGCGGTGGAGTAAAGGGAACTTGTTTACAAAAAGTTGGCTATCACAACAACACTGCTCGTGTATATCACCGTCAATAGTGGCGATGAGTGATACAGTTCTTCTATGGAAGCAGACCTACAGTCCTTCTATGAAAAAAGGAAGACCTACTGGTCTTCTATGGAAAAACTTTGCTTATGGAAGAAGCAAAATCTACTGGTCTTCTATGGAAGAAGGAGGACTTACTAGTCTTCTATGTAAGAAGGAAGACCTACTGGTCCATTATGGAAGAAGAACTACTGGTCTTTTATGGAAGAAGACTTACTGGTCTTCTATGGAAGAATATCTACTGGTATTTTATGACAGAAAATCTAATGGTCTTCCATGGAAGAATATCGTGTGTTCTTCTTTCAGAAAAGACAAACTTGTCTGTTCTGATAAAAGTCCCTCCGGTCTTTCCTGAAAAAGCTTCTCGGGAAATAGACTTCCTGGTTTTCTATAGAAGTAAATCTCAAAGTTTTCTCTGGGAGAAGACCATCTTGTTTTTTAGGATCAAGATTTTCCGAGTTTCTATTGAAAAAGAACATTTGGTTTTCTGGAGTAGAATACTCCATAATATATGGAAGAAGACCCTCTTGAGTTCTATGGATGAAGACTTTCTGTTCTTCTATGGAAGAACACTTTCTGGTTTTCTATAAACGTATATGCCCTTCTTCTCCTGGGGAAGTAGAACTTCTGCCCTTGTCTATCAAAAAAGGACTTCTGTTCTTCGCATCTTTTATGGAAAAAGGCATTCTTGGGGTATGTGGAAGACGAACTTCTTGTCAATATAGGAATTTCTTCTGGTAATTAGAAGAAGAATACCTTCCGTAAACGAATGTCCTACGTTCATCTGTAGAAGGAATTTTTTCTGGTATTTTCTAGCAGTGTGTGTTCCCAATAAAAGGACCTTCTACGGAAGAAACGTGTTATAGAGAATTCTGCTGGGCGATTATAAAAACAGTCTTTTAAAAAAATTTTATCTATTATTATATCATCATCATCTTTATCCCAGAAAATACCTTAGGTTATCCCTTAATCTAGTTTTTTTGAGAATATATAATTGATTTTCTATAGAAAATCGATCTGGTGTAGGGAAAAATATCCTTATTTTTTCTCAATGAACATTTTGGCTGTCTCAGTAAACAATATTATTTACTTCTATGGGGGAACCTTCTTATATTGTAAAGGCCATCTTTCGTCGTCCTTTTTTTACTTAAAAAAAAAGATCCCTCTCTATACCAAAATGGTTGTAAATATTGGTATTACTTTTATAAATTTTGTCATAGAGACTATTACATAATTCTCCGCTTTTTTAATATTCATGTATTAAAGTGACACTGAATCTGAAACGAGTTTCATTGCCTCATTTTTAACTGCGACCTTAACTCTACTAACATGTCTTGCGGAGCAATATCCCAAATGCCGAGTTACAAGCATTTAACAAAAAACAAAAAAAAAACATTTTTTTTAAATTAAAATATTTTGCTTAAATTTTCATGAAGTGCACCAATAGAAATATCGATTAGAAAATTATCTAAAATCTGCCTTTATGGCCTACAAAATTAGCCACATTTATGCCAACCAGTTGTAATATATTCCATTTTATTTTTTGCTCCATCAAAAAAATAATCTCTTATCTAGTCCTAGTTTGGTGTGCCCCTTTTTTTAATTCATGTCATCCTGAATATTGTTAACAAAATCATTGAAATCAGTTCGTTCTCTCATTTCAGGCGAACATCCGGAGGCAATGCAAACAGAATCGGCTTCCGGCTGTCATCAATGTACATGGCTACTAACCACGGCCCTGCTCCTACTGCTGCTGCTCAAACAAACATTTCTCTGTAATCCGCTTTCTATGCGCCGGTGGTGGTGCTGGTGGTGGCAATCAAATTCACACAACAACACAGCGCCGTCAGAGCGAAGCAGAGAAACCACCAAAACCACATCAACAACAGATCACACTTCTACGCCCTGCAAGCGGATACATGAACAATTTGCGGCAAACAAAATCATCATCGATTTGCATAACAATCCGGATAACTATATGATAAAAAACCATAGAAATTGTTGCTGACACCATCGCCATGGTCATGAGAGCAGTCATCGCCATCATCATTCCCATCGACAGCATCCTCATCGTGACGATAATCACCATAATTGTCCACACCAGCATCAGCAATTGGAAATCTACTTTAGTTGATACAATCGAGAGGAGTAAGAAGTTAGTCAGTCATTCGGGTTTTTATATACAGATCTTGACTTGATTATTCTTGGTTAGGGAGATGGATAAAGGAAATCGAAATATATATTTATATATGTACCCATAGATAACTTAAGGAAAATAATAGCACATAAGTGAATTAAAGAAAGTAAGGAAGAAATTTAAAATTTTTTGTATAATAAGCTCTTAGAATCGTAAGCTATATTCATGCATATATCGGTAATATTAGAATAGTTTGAATACATTATGCAATGGAGGGAAAGGGGGCAAGTAATTCAATTAAACGCAATAGGTATCTTCAGATTTTTGGAACGTACGTGGGAAGAAATAAAGATTGTCTTTTTAAAAAAAAAATATTTGGAATATGCGAAAAATATTTCCATATGAGCAGATTTTCGTGGATTTATATAAGTAGACTTATTTTCAAAATTGTTCTGGTCTTAGTTGAAAAATGCAAAATATTATCAAAGTTTTGTGGGTGAACGGGAAAAAATTGGAACGGAAAGATAAGACATTTAATATAAAATTTCCAATTAAAGATTAATTTGGAGAACTGCCTTTTGGTCAATGTTAATATTTAAAATTTACTTTTTACCTATACCACTAACCATAAAATATGACAATTTCCAAGGTATTGATATTTGCAGTAGATATTTTAGATGTTTAGATAGGCAATATAGGGTTACTGTAAGATTCAGACCACATATCTACTGATTATCAGTCATTTAACCAGATCTCCTGCATTTCCGTTATTTCGGTTTCTTAGGGGATTATTTTGAGATCTCCCAAAATAGTCAAAATAGGTATAGCCCTTTATATAATGGAATTTCGACAAATTAGGTATTCTTAATGGGTAGGCGAATTGGCCAAAAAAAAATTTTTCCACGGTAAATAAAGGACCTATGTGTTGGAGATCCAGGAAGCGTTAGATTATCTTTCCGAAAATGTTTATTTACTTTGCTCATTTCATATGGCCAAAACATCAATCATCGAAATAACGATTTTAGATTTATCTTTGGACCAAATCTGTTTCAGGACATTTAGAGTCGATCTGGGGGTGTACGTCGGTCTGTCTGGCTGGCTGGTGGACAGGATAACTCTCGAAGAGAGTATCCGATTTGGTCCAGTCTTGATACAGCGTGCTATTATCATCAAACTTCGATCGAGTTTAAACAAATCGATCCGCTCCTTCTGGTAAAAAAAAATATTTCACTGCACAGAAGTAGGAAGTATCAAAAAAGTCCAAACCTGGCAAGTCACATTATTTATATCATACTAAATTATGTCCGATACCAAATGGACAATATTGGCCCATTCCTTCGGAGCCAGCTAAATAGAGGGTCAATAACTTGAATAATCATAACAGAAGTCAAAATATTATTTAAATATATTTTGACTTCTGTTATGATTATTCAAATTATTGACCCTCTATTTAGTAAGTTCCGAAGGAATGGGCCAATATTACCTTTGAATATACCTTTGTCCACAATACCGACTGTTACTTCTTATATTGTTTAAGTGGTATTTTTATCTTCTTTGTGTTTGATTCAATTTTATATCAATTTGAATTAAATCCTTAAGTGAGAACGAAATGCTGGACTCTATGGGTGTCATGTAAATTTTTTGAGGACGAAAATTTTCAGTAACTAAATACATATGGAAAACGGTAAAATTTAATTCGAATTACTTTTATTTCTCTAAGAAGTTTCTTCTGACGGTTTTGCCACTTTTTGAAGAAGGACCACACCATATAAATGTATATGAGTTTTCGATAATTTTATTGAATGAAATAAAAAAACTTCGGAAATAGAATTAAATTTTAGAATAAGTTTATATTTGTTCGAATTGGTCACCTTTGGCACGAATTATAGCCTTCAAACGGCCAATGAAATTGTCACACGCTGCCGAATGTTGCCTTACGGTATTATGGCCCATTCCCTTCGAAGTGCTTGCTTGAGGTGTTCGATATTTTGGTATTTTTTAGTGCCAACCTTGCTTACCAAAATAGTTCAGACACAATGGTCCAACGGATTGGTCTCCAGAGATTTTGGTGGCCATTGTGTGCTGGAAATGAAGCGAGGAATCACATTTTGTAACCATTCTTGGGTGGCGCGTGCTGAGTGCAATGGTGCTGAGTCCTGCTGGAATGTACAAAATCTGCGGCCAAAAAGTTTGCGTGCCCAAGGCTTTAATACACCCTCTAGAATATTTTCTCCATAATATTCAGCATTGATTCCGATGCCACGGTCGATTAATACGAGCGTAGAGCTACCATCGGCTGTTATGGCGGCCCCACACCATCACACACCACACCACACACCGCCGGTGCTTGAGTTCTGGTGGCCAACGGAAAGTGCACATTTTCAGCTGACCTTTTTGGCAAGTAAACACGATCAATTTGTTTGTTTGTAAACTGCTAGACAACGAATGTTTTCTCATAGGAGAATACCATATTCGGCAGATCACCACTTTCAGCCAAGCAAAGCAACTCTTATCTCTTTTGAGTCTATTTTCTTTCTGTTGCGGTGCAAGTTCTTGCATGTTTTGGAATTTCAATGGCTTTACCCCGAACTCATTTTTCAGAATTTGTCGAATGGAGTATTGCGATATGTTCAGCTCACGAGCCAGTTTTCGGCCACTGCGACGCGGGTTTCGATCAAGTCGCTTCTTTACTTTTCGAACCAACAACATCTACTGATGTTGCTGTTTTTTCCATCCACTGCCTTGACGTCGGTCTACGCTACCAATATTACGGTAACGAACAATGGTACGAAACACAAAAGATATATTCACATTTCAATGCTGGCGTGCTCTAATGATAGCCACTTGTGGTTTTCCTGCCAAATATAAAGAAATCACACTATTACGCATAAATCCCATCACGATTAACTTCTTTTCTGGAAAACTTTCACCAAAATGTTTTTGTACGCTTGTAAACAATATAACAGCTGTCGGACGAGTGGCTTAGAAAAGACAGCAATCTGAGGTTGGTTGCAGTTTTTTCATACAGGGTGAGATTTATTCTTGACCAGTGTAAAATTCTAAGACGATTAGCCGTGTTGTCCGTCTCTTGTGATCACGATAGATTCAAAACGAATAAAGATAGGTAGCTACAATTTCGCACAGATCAGTCTTTTGTCTGCAGGCATCTCAAGTTCGCAGATGGACTATGTCCGTCAACGATATTGTATAGCCCACATTAACGTCACACCCCGATATTCGGTATTTTGATGATTGTAGCAAAATTTTGCAATGAAATTGTCTGAAAATATACAAAAGAAGTTCCTTCTGAGTACTTTACTCTGTGAAAGTGTATTGTCTATATATGTTCAAATATCATGTATCCCCCATATAACGGTACCTCCATAAATTCGGTATTTTGATGATTTGAGCTGCATTATTGAATGGAATTGTATATATATATATATATATATATATATATATATATATATATATATATATATATATATATATATATATATTTATTTTTTTTTTTTTTTTGGCTAGAAGTATTTTTTCAAACTAATTTTTTTAAGATTCAAATCACTTTTTAGAGTTTTTCCGAGTGTATCATGATTGTATTTATGAGAATGGGCTGTATTACTCGATTTTTTCCAATGAATTGTGTACCACTGTGTACTTGCTAAAAATATCTAAAAGTAGAATATTGCAATGTGAAACTGAAGCCCCTTCCTTAGAATGATATAAAATAAATAATAAAAACTGTATAACAGTGATATACTAATTAGATATAGGTCATATTATGATATGTATTTAAGGTATACTCTAGAAAATACATGATATCAAATGTAAATATTAAGAAAATCCTCGAAGGAGATAGAGTAAGAATAAATAAGGTAATCCTCATAAATTTATTTGTTAAAAATTTATTAAGTTTTCACATATGTTTAATGTAAAATTATTAATTGTTTTAACAATCTTCTGAAAATATCACAATTTAGAGCGCCACAAATATTTTTTAAATCTCAAATTTATTTTAAGAATTAAATCCTCTTTCACATTTACATGCTCTTGGTTATAATTTTTTTACTATTTTTTATTTCATTTCACCATATTTGATTATCATAATATTGGCGTAATATGCAATATTTAATCGGATCATGTATGTTTTTAACAATCAGTTATTCGTGCAAATTGTTACATTTTGAATAATGATTTATTTATATTTACTCTCTCACATCAGTGTATAAAATTTTCACATAAATCAAAACTAAAATATATAAATACATAGATTTAATAAGATTTCGAATTCATATAACTATAGTTGTAAATTATGAATTTGAAAAGAAATATTTAATAAAAAGTATAACTACATAACGGTTAATTGTAAAAATATTTATTGTGTAATTTTTTTTTCAAACTGTAGCATAATAATGAGGTAAGTAAATATATAAACAAGTAAGCAAAGGCTATTGTCGTGCGGGGCCGACCATGTGATACCCTACATTCTAAATTTATAAAATTTGTCAAAATCGCTCCAGCCATTCTGGAAATATAAGCATTCTAGCACATCCCCTTCCTTTGAATATATACATGGTATATATTTCGCTATATATATATCCGATATTTTTACTATCGGCATATACGTAACGGTCAGAATTGACCTGTTCGTCTATTTGCGATTTCGCCGGCATTAAAAATATTCGCGGTTAAATGGAAATTTTGACTTTTATTTATCACAAATGCTATGGTCTATTTCAACCACTAAATGTTACCCGATGACCATCAAAATTGAAAGGCTTCTGCCCAACCTTAAGCTCTAGCCCCATGCTAACTTCCGCGTCGATTGGTGTATAATTATGTCCTGTGGAGCAACTGCAAAATCAGAAAATTTTTCAGTTTATGGTCCATTTCAACCCCTAAATATTATGCGATCTTCTCCAAAAGCAACAGACTTCTCTTCTGCTCCTAGCTAAATTTCGTGAAGATCACGGACAGACGGACATACATAGCTAGATCGACTCAGCTCGGCAAGATAGGAAGATCCATTTATACTCTCCTATGTGGGAAACCAATATTTCGGGGTGTTACATAATTTTTGGCCCAATCAAACTTATATAATAGTGTCGTAGGGTATAAAAATAACATTTTTATACCCTACGACACTATTTGGAGATGATCGTAAATTTATTTTAAAAAATTAGTTTTATGTCGTCCTATGAGTTATAATATGGAATTATTTAACATTCACCAATTCCTAGATTCAACAGCGAGGTATCCTGTGCTTTACTAGTATAAAAGTAGGGACGGTTTTTGCACGTAATTTTCCTATCCCGAAAAGAACTCACGGTTTAATCATCACTGCCATCTTCATATTGAATTACTTCAGCTCTACAAATGCTAAGTAACTGTTTTTTTTTTTTTTTAAGAAATATAAGAATAATAAGCTCGCATGTATGACTACCCGAGTTTGAAACAAGTAAAAAAGCAGCTAAGTTCGGCCGACCCGAACTATTTATACCCTCCACCATTTGGAAGGAACTTGAAAATTAAAAAAAAAAACTCCGAAAACTATCACTTAATGGAATGGCGTTATATGGGGACTATATGAAGACGTGAACCTGCTTACGATTTTTTGTCATATGCTGTAGTACCCGTTACGAACTTCAAATACGAAATTTGAAACAGTTTCAGTGAATAATGTCGCAAAAATCATGAAAATACCGAGTATCGGGAGGTAACGTCATATGGCGCCTATACGGACGGACGTGGACCTGCACAGATAATTTTCTGCTTTAGGCTGTAGTACCCATTATGAACTACAAATACCAAATTTGTTACAATTCCGGTGAATAATGTCGCAAAAATCATGCAAATATAGAGTATCGGGAGGTAACGTCATATGGCGCCAATATGTACGAAGATGTGGACCTGCATAAGAAATTTTTTGCCATAGGTTGTAGATCTTCCAATACAAAATTTGAAACGATTCCGGTGAATAATATTGCTGAAATCATCAAACAACCGACTATCGGGAGGTTGTACCGTTATATGGGGGCTATACGAAAACGTGGACCGATACGGCCCATTTACAAACTTCGTTCGAAAGATAGCGTGGTTACAATAAACAGACAGACAGAAGGACGTCGCGGTATCGTCTTAAAATTTTACGCTGATCCGGGATATACAGGGTGAGACGAAAAAACTGCAACCAACTTCAGACTGCTGTCATTTCTAAGCCACCCGTCCGACATCTTCCAGTGAAAGCTCATTTTATTATTTACAAGAGAAAGCATTTTGGTGAGCATTTTCCAGAAAAAAAGTTATTTGTGATGGAATCCAAACGTGTTAGTGTGATTTCTTTATATTTGGCTGGAGATCCACAAGTGGCTATCGATAGA